CCTTGCTGGTGCTCCCCTTCCTTGGGCAGGGCAGGGGCACCCACACTGCTGGGGCCAGGATACTCATCACACATGGCCTCTGCAGGGTTGTGTCCCAGGGCTTCACCCTCCCTAGGCAGCACCCACTGCTGCAGCCCCAGCTGGTCCGTGCCTGCTGGCTCACCTCCTGCCACCCCCACATCCCCAGCTCCTAACCCCATGGTTACCGGCCAATACCGAAAGTCCACGACCATGGGAAAGCAAAAGAGAACCCACCCTCACCTCTCCTGCTTGCCATCCTTCTCCCCCCAGGTGGAAGGGGTGTCTGAGTCCATCCACAGCTCCTTCCGACTGCTCCTGGAGATCTACCACCTCGAGTGCCAGCACTTCCATGACCAGGAGAGACCCCTCTACCAAGAGATGCTGCAGAAGGTCATCTCAATGCCGTGGCAAATCAAAGCCAGATACGTGCCCCTGTGTGCCATTGTCCCGTATGTGGGCAGCCAGCAGGTAGGAAAGGTGGGGGGACAGGGAGGCTCAGTCCTGGCTGGCACCGCTGCTGGGGTGGCACAGCCTCTGTCTGCTGCCTGTCACCTTCTCCTGCCCAGCTCAGCCATGCAGGCAGCAGCATTCCCAGCTGGGGGGCCGCTCTCGCATCACCCAAGGGATGGTATCCCTGGTGGGGTGGTGAGCTGCAGCAGCAACGATGCATCCCTGGGAAGTGCCAGTGGGAAGGGAAGCTTTGCCAGTTGGTGCCCACCAAAATCTGGCCAAAGTAGCTGTGCTCCCGTACCAGAGGTGCTCAGTGCCATGGGTGACCGCAGTGTGGTCTATACCCAGATCTGTCCCCCGCTGTACGGAGCCTTCAGCCTGGCAGGGAGATCACAGAATCATTTAGGTTGGACAAGACCCTTATGAGGGGTCATCTGGCTTTCTCCCAGGTGCTGGATGCCTACCCAGAACTGCCTCAGCACCTCCTGAGCTGCCTCTCCACCAACCACCTGTGTCCTGCAGCCGCTGAGGTCTACAAGGCCCTGGTGCGGCAGCAGCATGCCGAGCAGCAGGATGGGCGGCCGGGCATGGGGCTGGCTCTGGCGGAGCCGTGGGCGCTGCGCTGGCTGCCCCTGCTCTCCCAGGCGCTCCGCTCCCCCCTGCCCATCCTGCAGAGCAACGCCGCCAACCACCTCCTGGCCTGGACCCTGCGGCAGCTCCCAGCAGCCCAGGCACCACTGGCCACCCAGTGCAGCGGCCGGGACGCAGCATCGCTCCAGGCTTGGGTCTTGCTGCTGAAGGCGCAGAAGAGCGTGGTGGGGGCCCTGCCGCTGCAGGGCAAGGTGCTGGAGCGGCTCTGCTGCTGCCTGGGCGCCCGCGAGGAAGGCGTTCGGCTGGCGGCGCTGGGTCTCCTCTGCTGCAGCCCCAGCACCAACCAGCCCCTCTCGGGCACCGAGGTGCGGCTGCTGCGGGAATTCTTGCCCCTCAACCTCAACTGCGACTCCTCCTCGTTCCGGCAGCTGCTGCAGGCAGCGGTGAGGAAGGCGCTGGTCCAGCTGCGGGACAGCTCGCTGGCCCAGCTTCGAGGGAAGGAGCCCCATGGCACCGAGATGGGCAAGGGAGCGGGGCAGCTTGCCCAGGCAGTAGGTGAGGTGGCTGCCCTGGCACCGCCAGCGTGGCCCCCGGGGGAATTTGAAGTGGGTGCCCAGCCCAGCATCGCTCACTGCCACGCTCTGCCTGCAGGGTTTGTGGAGTGGCTGCTGCAGCTCAGCATCGCCTCACTCAGCCCAGGCTCCAACTACCAGAGGAAGAAGACGGCCCTGCTCCTCCTGGCTGCTGTTCTGGAGACCTGCACAGACACCTGGAGCCCCGCCAGGAAGAAAGGCCAGCCCCCACGTGAGTAGGGGCAGCCCACCCAGAGCATCACCCCTTGGCTGCAGGGGTGCTCCCCACCCAGCACCTCTTGTCCCCACCACAGGGACCATGGCCACACTGCTGAGCTACACCAGGCAAAGCGGCTGCTGGGACTTCTTCTCTCAGCCCAATTTGTTGGCGCTGCTGAGCTGCTTGCAGGAAAGCAGTAATGAGGTGATCCTGAACGGTCATGAAGCCGCCTGCCTCAGCCCCGAGCGGGCTCACAGCGCAAGGGTGGAGGCTTCCCCTCCTGCCCTGCCCCAGTTGCTTTCCCCTCCATCTTGTGTCCCAATTTCCCCCACCACCACCACCTCTCCTGTCTTGGCAGATCAGGGACTTGGCCTCCGAGCTGCTCATCCGCTACTTCCCTGCCACATTCCCCGAGCCCATCGCCCTGGCTCTCTTCCAGCTGGCCCAGGAAGCCCTGGGCAGCCCGCGAGTGCAGGAGGCTGAAGCCGGAGCCGTGCTGATGAAGACCATCCTGCAGAAGTACGAGCTTCTGGCCTTCCCCCTCCCCGCAGTGGCACGGCAGCCCCCGAGAGCCCATCAGCAGCACCAGCATCTTGCCAGAGGCTGCATTTACAGCTCAGGGCAGAGATGGCTTGGGTTTGAAAATAGCCTTGCAGTGGGGAGCTGGGTAGGGCTGGGGTGCAGAACTTTGAGCCAGGGGAGGAAGGAGCCACACAGCCCAAGTTGGGCAGAAAAGTCCCTCCTCCTCGCAACAGCCTCTGCTCCGTCCCCCAGGTCAGACAGTGACACCATGAAGAGCCTGGCCCTGGAAGCCGAAGCAGCCCCCACGCTGCCCAACCGAGGCCTCTGCTTTGCTCAGCACCTTCTCCATGTGCTGCAAGCCCAGTACGCCGCGGCATGCCAGGACCTGCTGCAGGCAGCAGCCACCGCACCGATGCACGGTACATCCCCAGCCCAGCAGGGCTCCTCCCTGGGAACTTAGGGCAGGCAGGAATGGTGTAGGCAGGACTGAGGCTGCAGCTCAGTGCTGATGCCACATCCTTGCCTCAGTTTCCCTGTATCGCTGCTCCGCCTGCCCAGCATTCCCTGCACCTGGGGGCGCAGCTCGCTCCCTTGCCCGTGAGCCGTTTCAGCAGCAGGCTCAGGCAGGAGAGCGGGGGCTGCGCTGGCCACCGCTGTGACCGGCGGTGGGTGTTCGTGCAGGAGCCATCGCCGCCCTGCGGAGGTGCCTGCTCCAGGTGCCAGAGGTGGCGGCCTCCATGCGGGCAGCAGAGTCAGCGCAGAGCTGGCAGGAGCTCCTCACCCGCCTCATCACCACAGTGAGGGACATCACCTCCTTCCTCCTGGGCGCTCTGCAGAGCCAGCAAGGCCCCGGTGCCAATGAGCAAGGTGAGCGTGTCCCCGGGGGGGGACCAGCCCCGGGAACCACTGACACCTCCATCACCACCATCCTGGACCCCACAGCCCTCCAGCCTCTGGGGAAGGCGCTTGCTTTGGGCTCAGTGCCTCTAGCTGGGAACAGCAGTGGGGCTGGGCAGGGAGGGTTGGCCCAGGAGCAGGGTGCAAAGCAGGGCACCTGGGCGAGGATGCTCCAGGTGTTGGGCAGAAGATCCTGGAAACTATGGGAGCAGAGCGGCTCCTGCCTGGGTTTGGGTCCCTTTCTCGACTGCACATGAGGACAGCAGCAGAAGTAGAGGCAAAAACCTTCCAGAGGCAGAGGAAGAACCTCCCTTACAGCAACAGTTTGGAAAGAGCCATGGGGCAAAGCACAGCCGTGTCCCGGAGTGGCACACGTTGCAGGAGCAGAGGCGCTGCCATTTGTGTGCACTCTGGACAGCGGGTCCCCCGCCAGCCCCCCAGCAGCATCACCCTCCCTCTGCCCCACACAGCCCCACTCAGACCAGGCTTCTCCCTTTCACAGCTGCTGCCCCATCGTTTGCAGACATGGGGAATGCCATCGGCTCCCTCATCACACTGGGGAAAAGCCGGGGGCAGCAAGAGGAGGAGGAGGACTCAGTCCTGCTGTCAGAAGAGCACAGCCTGATCCTGACCTGCTGCTGGGTATCAGTGAAGGTAGGCACCCCTCCCCACAGGATCAGGGACACCCCAGCATGGCACCCACCACCCAGCCCACCCCAGCAGCTGGGTTCTCCAGCTCCTCTTGGGGCATTCACCCTCCCTGGGGACAAACAAGGGGGAACCTCGGCTTACCTTGGAGCTGCCGCAGTCATCCTCCCCCTCCATCAGGGAAGATACAACCACCACCCTCACCAAAAGTAGCTACCTCCCTGCCTGCCCTTATGTAGCCCAGCTGGTTCCCAGGCACCAACAGACTCCAGCTGCGGCAGAGCCGGGCTCCCAGCTTGCAGCCCTGCAGCCACCCATCACCGCTCCTTTCCGACAGCCGCCCATCCCGGCTTCTCCTCCTCTCCAGCGGCTGCCTGGAGAAAGGCCATCTCTGCTGTGCACACCTTGCAGCTGGCTGGGAAACCACCGTGCTGCGAGCCTGCCTGTGCTTGTGGGCGTCCCACCGTCCCCACGGCCTGACAGTGCCAGCACCCGAGAGCGCCGGTGCTGGGGAGCGATGGCAGCACCCGCTCTGCTCCCCAGGGGCAGCGGTGGCAGGGCAGGGCAGGAATGGGGGGGGACAGGAATGGGGCAGCCCCACTGCTGGTCCCCGTGACCTTCATCTTCTTCCCAGGAGATAGGACTGCTCCTGGGCGGCCTGGCCGAGCTGCTGCTGGACCCAGCGCTGCCAGCCGGATCAGGGCCCCTCTTGCCGCTCCCCACCCTGCAGACGGCTGCAAGGGTCTTCCAGGAAATCCTGCTGCGGTGCCGGCACTGGGTAAGAGCACGTCCCACCTGGGGTGGCTTGGCTCCTTGCCCACCCCTCTGGCCCCATCCCTGCCCCAGGCCGATAGCCAGGGGCTCTTGCCCGCATGCAGGGAGGCCAAGGGCAGCAGGGCAGGGTCTGCTCTGGGGCAGGCCACAGCTGGGATCCTGGTGCCAAACCCTGTCATGTCCCCATGCCATCATGTCTTCTCGCTTTCTCCTTCCCCTTTTGCAAAGAGGTTTCTGGGGGTTGGGGTGGGCTGGTGGGTGCAGCCTTGGGGGAATGGGGGGCCTGACAGTACCCTGCCCTAGGGAGCAGTGGAGGGCTGCAGCATGGGCTTCACCAAATTTTGTGCTGCTCTGTTGAACCACCCAGACACGGAGCTGCAGGCAATCCCGCAGACCATGCTGGAGCAGGTACTGTGCTCTGCCCCACGTTCCCCCCATGCCCTGGGGACCCCCAGGGCCTTGTCCCTGTCTCCCCCCACCCCGGGGTGAGGACCTGCCTGGCAGCTGGGATGCTGCAGCGTGGGGTTGGTGCAGCTGGTGCCCTCCCCTGCAGAGCAGCCACAGGTTCCAGCCAGCAGGTTTCCAGCCATATCTCAGGTGGATTTTGTTCCTTAGGGCTTAGAAGCCCTGAGCGGACCCCGTAGCAGCTCGATCACACGCCGTGCTGCTGGCTTCCCCATGCTCTTCCTCTGCATCGTCAGCGGGGAGGCCCCAGCGCAGGCACGGCCACTGCTGGCCCGCTGTGTCCAGACGCTGCTGGCCTTGGCCACCACAGCCCTGCCGCAGGACTGGGACCAGACCCTCGACCTCCCGCAGGTGAGCATGGAGGGTGCTGAGCTCCTGGCTGCTGTAGCTCATCTGGGGACAGGGTGGCCTGCACGAGGTCCCCTAAAGGGAGCCATGCTGGGTACTAGCATGGAGACCTCAGGGTGAGCAAAAAACTGCAGCCCTGGCCATGCTGCCCATCCCAGCAGCCCAAGAGCTGATGGCCCCTCAGCTCCCTCCATCTCTTCCCACCATCTTCCCTTTGCATGGAAGCATCAGCCCCCTCCCCATAGTGCTGCTGAGCCCCGTGCGCTCTCCCCAGGTGTGTGCCTTCCACGTGCTGCAGACGCTGGTCCGTGGTGCAGGGCTGGGCGGCGCGCTGCTGCGGCACGCTGCGCCGATGG